AAGCATAATAATTTTTCGTAGAACAACTTTTACAACCGGTTTACTTAAGATAGAAACACGTGCTTCGCACAGAAAGGAAAAAGAGGTGAAAGTAAATAAATAAAAGCATTTGTGTTTTAAAATACAATAGAATAAATACTCGACTAAAGACAGATTTCACAATGTCGCCTTGATAATCCATTAAATATCTTAGAAGTGTAATCTAAGCTCACTGCCTGCTGTATAGAGATAAACAAGCGTTGTAAAAACCTTACAAAGTTGTTTACCCTAAAGTACAATTTGTCATGTGTTGTTGTGCATGTAGAATATGCACTAAGCTTGAATATGATTGCGTTTATTTAGACACGTAATTAAATACGTGTAGTATGCAAATTATTTAAACACGTGCAGGCTGAAAATATGATTTCATTTATTGCACTACAATAATGTTGTTCAATAAATAGTTTCTTGTTACACTTTGTTATGCTATATAAAATACTCGTCTCTTTTTAAATTGTTTATAAAATGTTGAAAACTTTTTACAACAACACTATCTTTGTAAAATCGTGAGGTAAAAAGTACATGCATTCATAACCTATTCCGTAGTCTATCAATATGATCACCGTGAAATCAGTCAGTCAGTCAGTCGTTTCTCTCATTCTTGGCCTTTTTATTCTCATTGAGATCACTAAAATAAAATAAAATGCGAAGCTCAAAAAAAAGCAATAAATAAGAAAAGTATAAATTAATAAAATTTTTACTCCGGTTACACATATAAAATATGTGATTCAAAAAAAAAAATGAACGGGACTTTTGACTGAGGCGCCACCTGTTGATCTATGTTAACTTTATATGAAATATTTTAAAATCCATTTTTTGTATGTCGTGAGTGAGTCTTCCTTAGGCTAAAACCTTTCGCTAAATCCTTCTTCAATATCCTCTTTCGCTGAAATTGCTAAAAGACTATGTGCGATATAAGAAAAAATTTATAACGAATTATTTCATTTCCTCTTGAAGGTATTACGAACTGCCCTGGTTGACCTCCAACCAAATGACAATAAAGATCTCAACTAATTATTTGTAATCATCGCGAAGTGTAGTAAGAAGTTTGCTCCTGCTGAAAAATGTATTATGGTTCGTTAGGTATGATCTAAAGCAGGGGTTGTCAAGATTTTTTGGTCACGAGTCAAAATCAACCAAAATGTGAGCATTAGAAAAACATTTGGATCAAAGATATTTTCTTATGAAAACAGTCTTTTAGGACGTTGAACACAAGCATCTGAATTTTCGATTTTTATATTTAATGATTTACGCCTTTGCATATTATACTTTATTTTCGAAGCTAAAGTGGCTCACTTGAAATTATCAAATGGGCCATTGGTTGCCGACCTCTGATCTAAAGCATTCCATTGTTTTCAGTCCTCCCATTATTTTGTAATAAGATTAAAGATGAAAGGTGAAGATAAATTCGAATTTAACTACACGCACCAACAACAGAGCTTCCTAAAGCCATCTATCGAGGGTTGGGCTTAAAAGCCCCCTCTGTCTAAATTAAGAAAATTTGTTCGTTAGCATAAACCGACTACGTCCAACCAAAAAATTCCACCCATATCACTCTAATGCAAATATAAAAACACTCTTTAAACAGGCGTTACACGTTACAAATTGCCTACCCATGTTAAACAAACATACGGCGCGTACGTCTTTAATAAAGAAGGTTAGAATTTGTCAAGAAATTAGATTCCTTTTTTTTCTGCTCATGTTACTAGGCCACGTATTGTTTTGCTAATATGTAATTTCTAAAAATTTGGTGATAATAGTTCCGAAAAGTCGAATTTCAATTTGTTTAGCTTATTTGAATGGTATCCCTTTATAGGTTCATTAAATGTCCACAAAAATATTTTACGTCTCATAATTTGAATGGAATAGGTTTCGAAGTCCAAACATATCTTAATCGTAACTACTTAACAGAGCTCTATTAGAGCGCTTACAGAGCTCTATTAAAGTAATTGCTAGATGGCTTTGCTTTGAATATTTCCTACGATATAACTTTAAAAGACCAATGAAGACGAGTTTCGCAATGAGAAAAATTATATGAATTAATACGTTCGACCTTTCCATATAGGCGCAACAAATCACGCATCCACTGAAAGATTTCCATTCAAAAAAGCCTTTAATAAGATACACTACACAATAATCTTAGCTTACGGTGCTGATTATAAGTATCGATGGGTAACAACACGTTGACAAACTAATGTTGGTCAATTTTTAAAAAAAAAAATAGGGATAATTCTGATAAAAGAACCAATACTTCTTCTCAATGGTCAACAAATAGCTATTGTGCAGTAATTGAGTTACCAAAGAGCGCAAGAAATCTTGTAAACACCTATCTGGCACTTACGTAACCTTATTCTCTGAAAGTGTTTACCTTACAACTGTTCAACTGCAAGTATTAGAGAATTTTCCGAAAATGTAATATTAGCGGAATAGCGGAAATTTCTAATAAGAAAGAAGTGCACCTTTCTTGTAGCGACAAAATCTTGTGAAAATGGAGTGTAGATATCTTTCGCCCCCGAATTTCCTAAGTTTCATTTTCGGCCAGTCTAACGGTTTATGTGGATTCCCACTTTTGCAGCAAGTAGAAAGAGACAATGTGTGGGGAAGAGAGTTAAAATCCATGGCGTAGACAACCAAAAGAATTACCTCTGGGGTAATTATGTATTGTTTTTACTTTCCATCTTTGCCATTTTCGATCATTTTTTTCGGAGATATGCATTTTTCTAGCTGCTTTCATAGTTTGACTGGTCATAGGATGGAGGGATTTCGATAGTAGCACAAGAGAGAGGAAACATTTTCAATATTTTTGATCACCCGAAATTATCGAAAATTCGCCTTAGCTATCACAATTTTTTATCATATCTCATAGTATTTTTGACAAAAACTGTCAACGAAAGTTATTTTCCACGTATTCTTTTCAGCAAAGCTTAGGAAAGGAATACACTTGATGAAGAAATTATAGACAACGCTTTCGTATTAACTAACCTCGCCGAATACAATTCTCTAATAACAAAATTCTGCTTTACTCTTATTAAAGACATGTACTTTCTTTCTTTTTCCTTTCTCTCCCATTCTGCTGAAAAATTAACATAAAACGCGTAATCTACGAGAAGCCGTCGCTAAATACCTCAGCGGACAAAAGTTGCACTTCTTTGTTAATAGCAAAACTATCTCGCGAAGTGATGAATCTTTTTTTTTTTTTGCAAATTAAAGCTATTAGCATAGTGTAATAATTGCTTCTTATTTAGACCAGAGATACTCCTACACCAACTAACTAACACACAACAAAACACCAGCTCTTCGTTTATCATGATTGCTTTGCGGGCATTGCAATAATTTTAATGGCACCTTCACGTGATTCCGGTCTAGATTTTCTCAATTAATTTCAATTAACTTTTCCAAGTGTCTGCAACACTTCATTAATATGACAACGATTATTGGCTATTGATTGTGTATCGTCCCCATGCGCTTTCAAGTTTTCTATTCGATCTTCTACTTTCACAAATCGTTTTGCCGCTACTTTCACGTCTCTATCGTTTCGCATAAAATTGTTCTAATTAGTAGTAATCTAATCTAGAAGTGATCTAATTCTAATCGACTTCATCGACAGTATACATAACCTACATAATGTCAATAACTGAATTGTGTCGTTTTGAAGAACTAGTCTGATTAGAAAAGCAGGGAATTGTTCTTTCCAGCATCATTATCGTCCCAATTTGATAGTCGGCGAGCTGATGAACAAAGGAAGTTTTTCGCTAACACACTTCCTTCACCTTACAACCAGATACTTTTCTATTATATAATGTATTCATAACTTAAAAAACTCCCTAAACTGTGAGACTTACATGCTTTCAGCACTATTTTTGTACCCTACACCGCTTGCGGTACAAGGTATATTAAATTAGTTCAGACGTATGTAACATCCAGAAGGGCTTAAGGTGGACCTGCCTTCTATTATACCGATCGATTCAGAATCATTTCGCTGATGACTCACCATGTAATCTTGCGTTCAAGCTGCAGGTCGCAATTTTTGAGACATTCTGATGACATTTTTAAACAGACGTACTTTGACCCAAGTACGAACGCTATTGAAAAAATAATTCAGATTGATCAACTTTTTGACAACTCTTCATATAACGCCCTATTCTGAAAAGTCGTCATGTGGGAAAAAAATTGCAATTTTCAAAATTTCTCCACAAAAGTGACTAAGTAAGTAGCAGTATTTCATAATTCTAAATTGGTGCGCATACTTTAGACCGACTGGGGCAATTTTTCGAATCTTCTCTCATATAACCGTGCCTGCGGAAACTAAATCTTTGCAATCCTAAAAAGATCGTATCTCCAATATTTCATGGGGAAAATCGGCACATAATAGTAAATTGACAAAAAAATTTATCTTACCGAATTTGGACTATGCAGATCTATTTTTTGAAGGACACTCATGAAACGCGAACCCTTAAATGCCAAAAAAGGCTAATGGTTAATTTTTTTGTGATGAAAATTTCGTCAATGATAATTGTTAAACAAAAAAATTAAGTGTACCTAATTTGAAAAACGTGGGTCTATTTTTTCCCCCGCTCTATATGAGATATTTCATGATATCTTAATAATTCGTAGGTGCATTTCAGCAAAACAAATAAACATTATGGAATTTGGATCATACAAGTCTATTTCTTTTGGACCCCCACTTATATGGGCACTATCACGAAACGCAAACTCTTATATGAAGAGAAAATCTAAACTTTCGATATGCGGTCTTTCATGAAAGTTATGGTTTTGCAGGAAAATAATGTGTAGCTTTTGGTGTATTATTACCAAAACGAACGAATAATTGTGCTAAGCGAAGTGTTGTAGACTATGTAATGGTCGGTGTCGCCCGACTATAATGTTCTTACTTGTTTTTATCAAACTTTAATTTATATAATAGATTTCTCATTTCATTCTTTTCCTCTTCCAATATTTAGGATGCTTTCAAAAGCGATTTTTCGTGACGTTTATGTTATTTTTGGGCATGGCAAATGCCTATGTAATGCGTACAAATATGTCGGTGGCTATTGTTGCCATGGTTAATCATACAGCTATCACAGATGGACATGATGATGTCTTCGATGATGAATGTCCCAATTGGAATCTCACGGAAGTGGTAAGTTCTTTAGAAGTTACTTATGTAAAAGTACATACCATTGTTATCGTTTTTTATCCGATAGGAAGAAAGTCAAGATGGTGAGTTTGTTTGGTCATCGGCTCAACAAGGTTATATATTGTCGGCGTTCTTTTATGGTTACGTTATTACTCAGGCAAGTCTTGCAATTCCTGTTGATTCTTTAACCTAGTATCTGATGAGTTAATTTCATTTCAATAATAGATACCCTTTGGAATGTTGGCTAAAAGATATGGTGCTCTTAGGTTTTTGGGCTACGGCATGTTAATTAATTCGGTGTTTGCCTTCTTCGTGCCAATAGCAGCTCGCCGAGGAGGTGCCTGGGGATTGAGTGTTATACGTTTCATTCAAGGACTAGGCGAAGGTCCCATTGTGCCTTGCACTCATGCCTTGCTCGCCAAATGGATTCCACCGAATGAAAGATCACGAATGGGAGCTGCTGTTTATGCGGGCGCACAATTTGGTACTATTATCTCTATGCCCTTATCGGGTCTGTTAGCTGAATACGGTTTCGATGGCGGTTGGCCATCAATATTTTATGTGTTTGGTGCGGTTGGCACAATTTGGTCCGTCGCTTTTATTATATGGGTGTATGAAGATCCATGCTCGCATCCCACGATCAGCGAACGTGAGAAGAAATATATCAACAATTCGCTCTGGGGTACAAGCGAAATGAAGGTAAACATTTTCAATTAGAAATTCGAAGTGAAACTGAATCGCGTTATTTTCTTAATTACGGCAGATACCGCCCATACCTTTCAGAACGATTGCGAAGTCATTGCCTTTCTATGCTATTCTTTTGGCTCACATGGGTCATAACTACGGTTATGAAACACTCATGACAGAATTGCCGACTTACATGAAACAAGTGCTAAGATTTTCCTTAAAATCCAACGGCTTGCTGTCATCTTTACCCTATCTGGCCATGTGGTTGTTCTCATTATTTATATCGGTGGTAGCCGATTGGATGATTACATCAGAACGTTTTAGTCATACGTCAACGCGAAAAATTATGAATTCCATAGGTAATGCGGAATACTGTGATGCACTTAATATTTCAGGACTTGCTTACAATATGGTTTCAATAATTTCAGGTCAATATGGTCCTGGTATAGCTTTAATAGCGGCCTCCTATACTGGCTGTGATCGTGTCTTAACACTGGCCATTCTCACCGTTGGTGTAGGCTTGAACGGTGGCATTTATTCTGGTTTCAAGATCAATCATTTAGATATAACTCCCAGATTTGCTGGTGTCCTAATGGCTATCACAAATTGTTCGGCAAATTTGGCTGGCTTACTGGCGCCTATTGCTGCCGGCAACTTAATAGATAATCAGGTTAATTATATTAAGGTTTACAAGTGGTTCTGAATTTTATTTAAAGTTCTTCTTCTTTTTTTTTTTTTGCAGCCCACAATTGCCCAATGGAGTAAAGTATTCTTTATTGCTGCAGCTGTCTACATTATCTGCGGTACTATCTTCAACATTTTCGGTTCAGGTAAACGGCAACCTTGGGATAATCCTGAGAATGATCATATTAATGATAACCACGAAGCACAACGTCACAATAGCAGTGCTCCAGTCACTATAGTCCCTGCGTCTCCTGAGAAAACTAAGCAGTAGTCGTGTCAAAGATCTTATTATATGTAGTCCTTTAAGTGTCAAGTCAAGCAAAATGTGGCAACTAAGCACATAATATCTATTCAAAATACTAATAGTAAATTAAATTTTTATTATAATTTGTAATATAATTAAGTAGCACAAGAATCAGTATAATTTACTTACTTTAACTATAAAAATATTTAATTTTTAATTTTCTTTAAAAGTTTAAGTTAAAAAACAGAAAAAAGCGGAAACGAAAAATTAGTTAGTAAGAATAAGACATGTGAAGTGAAAATTGAAAAAGAAAAACAAAAACAAGGAAGCGAAGAATAATCAGTAATTTAAACACATACCTCATTTTATGCAGCCATGTATACCAAATATCATTACAGGGCGACAGGCATTACTTTGTTGAAGAAAAAAATTATATATTCCTATTTTCTGCCATGTAGAAAAGATCATTTTATGTGAATTGTGATAAACACGTTGATTAATATAATTTTTATTGTTTTCAATTTTATATTATATAAAACGCAAACAAAAAAACATTTAAAGAAACAAATATTTTTTAAAAACAAAAGACCAGAAACAATAAACTATCATGAATATATATAGATAGAAGAAGAAGAATGAATTTTTTTTGAAATTTTTCTTAAAATCATATATAGCAAGAAAATTGAACGAGTACTTTAAAATATTAGGTATTTTCATGTATTTTTTGGCATTTGTATATCCATCATCGAAGGATGAGAGATCAATTCATTTCCTCAAAACGTTTGCAACCTTCCAATCCTTAAGATAATAATTTTGTAGAATTTGTAGAAAGAATTGGGTCATGAGAAGAGAATTCTGGAAAAGTTTATTTATAACAAATTGTATTGTGTCGAGTCATAAGTAACTACCGTTTTTTTATCAGACATTTATTTTGTTTTCTTTGAATAAGAAAATTATATTAATTTGAGAGTTGATTGTAAGATATCTTCAACCTATTTGCTATACCTCTTGTTGATTGACGTAGATTATGCTCCAATATTGTTTATAGTAGGTTGTCGTCAAAGCCGGGAAAAGGACCCGCCTTTTAAGGTCGTACCTTTAATACGGAATTTTAAAAACCAATTTCTAATTGTCCGATCAGTTACCAGTCCTTCACGTTATACGGTGCATATTTTTTCAGCTGTCTCCTTAGCGCTATTGCCTTATTTAAATTCCGAAAGCATTACATGTCGAATAAACACTTTATGACTCTATTTCAGAAATTGAATGTAACATCCACCGCATAAAACAGTTGGCACAAGCCTAACTCAGTCCCAGTCTATGTAGGGAAAATAAAAACTCGTTTGTTTCGGTAACTTAAAATGGGTAAATGCGAACAGTAGATTCTACCTATCTGCATCGGAAGTTACTTATGACTCGATCGCGTGCCTGTCCTTTTTCATTCATATATATTTGTAACCTGAATGACTGTTGTAACTTTTCAAGATGAATAGTTTTTTCTTTAAAGAAATAAAACACGATCTTTTCTCTATACTGACTTTATTACAAGTGATACATTTTATTTTACATTTATATGACTTAACGCTACAATGGTTTTACTTGCAGGGATGCTTAAAAGGGTATGCAAACGTATTGTGATTAGTGATGTAATTATGGGATTTATTTTACAGAAAAACCGGTTGGATTTCGGACGCGCAATCACTTCAAATTCATCAAGTAGTTGTTGAAAGATGTGGTTACGAATTGCCCGGATTGCTTCTTTGAGAGCCTATTGGATGGACGAAATTGTACCATCAACTTGAGCCCTTTTTGCATGAAAGTCTGCTTTCTCATTTAAAAAAAAGCCGCAGTGACCAGATATCTTTTGTTTATTAGAAGCAGAGTTGATTTACTACCAGAAAAAATGACAAATTTTTTACGTCATAATGGCTACCTTAATACAATGTTTGATGGCAAACAATTCGATAAAAGTCGAGGAAAGTTCCTGCGCGATTTTGAGCTTACGTACTATTTCAGGCAGACGCTTTACCATCGAGAAGCCAGATACATTATATCAAACGGAACCGTCAGTGGCATATATATCATAGCCGTTGTTGTAATAAAAAAGAAATTTCCCCTGACATAAGATCCTCATACAAGAAAAATTGACATTTTGCTTCGAGGTTTTTGATAACAAAATGGGAAGCTGCAAGAGACAATATCACTGACAGATATAATTTTCTACAAAGAGGAAGGTTTCATTATCTTGAGCTTAATTAATTCTTTAGCATTACATAGTAAGGGCTCTTTCGGAAACACGCCGTTGACCAGAGATGACATTGAGAATATGTCGAGGAGTTGAGGGGGTAAATCCAGTACAACGTTATAACATTCCACTTTCCAACGTTTGTATACGTTTCTCAATATATTTTGGAAATTTACAAAATGTAGAATGTGCAAATTCAATCTTAGATCTTAGACTAAATCTATGTACACTGTCAAAGCTTTTTTGGGACGCAAACCTAACTGGTGGTTAGTCATGAGTTTGATAATAGTACTTCCATATTGAAAGTTTTTGAAGGCATTTCTTAAAATGCCCACGAAGAGTTAGGCTGTCATTTAAAATGTACCAAGAAATCGAAGACACTTTATCTGATTAACTTTAGTTTCTATGATAAAGAGCATAATTTCGCGTTTAGAAAGATTAAAATATAAATTAAGATCGGCACAGACATCGAAAAAAAGATTAGCTTTTATCGAGAGATTATTCATGGCAACTGAAAAGCATGAACCCGTAGATGCAATTAAAAAATCATCTGCATATTGAAAAATGTGAGTTTTGTCGCCTTGAAAATCATGCAAAAATATATAGATTGAAGAGTATGGGGCTCAAGCAAATACCGTGTGAAATATTATCGAATACCTTTAATCCTTCAAGCCTCGTAAAAAGTGAGATTCTTATCCTGAGAAAAGTGATTGCACCTTATCGTGTAAACGCCCTGCTATCTTTTGTCGTTGCGTTTCTGGTTTTAAGAGGTTGTCATACTTAAATCGGAGAACGAAAGGAAATATTTCCCAGTATAATCATCATCAAGAACCGAACGACCAACGTAAAGTACAATATCCATCTAAACTTAATTTCTTAAAGAAATTAAATACAAAAATTATCAGATAATAAATATGAGAAAAAATACTTTTAGAAGTTTGTAATATTTTCCTTATTGAACAACCATCAGTCCTTGCCACAATTGAAGGGATTAAAGTGAATGATAGTTTTAGTACTTTTTCAAATTAACTAACTTTATTTAATCACAACTGCAAAGTCTTTCTTGTTAATAATAGAATTTTAAAAATACTTAGCATCACTGTTTATTGAATCATTGTAGAAGTGAAGGGCATACAAAGTTATATTATCATTTTGTGTCGTTGTAAACTTATCAAAAATTAGATATCAAAATTATTCTCAAAATTTCAGTATCTTTCTTCTGTTTCTTATGTCTGGAAAAGAAAAATGGATAATGTCGCCAAATTGAGAGGTCTTTACACCAGTAAATAGAAGTTTTTCTGATGATTCTCTTTGTTAAGAGACAAACATGTACGGTTAGTCAGTACAGTACTGTCAACAATCGGGTAAAATTCCCAGAAACATTAATTATAAGCTTAAGCTATTTATTTGTGTAATAAAGATAGTAGGAGAAAAGTAATAACAAAGAAAACCAGCAGATTTGATAAAGGCAGTCAGCTGTTTGAGATGTGTATAATTGTTAGAACGAAAAATTTCATAAAAATTATTTTATAAGCTAAAAGACCGGAAAGGTTTCTTGAAAATGTTGACCTTCCTGCATTCAAAAATACCCAAATGACTCTGCAGTGTTGCATTCATCACAGATATCGGATGAGATTAACTTGATCATTGGCAATGAACAAAATATCAATATCATTTAAGAAAAGAGAAGAAGTTAATGTTTATGAGTGACTGTCACCACCTCCTTATTGGCCAGTCCAGTTAATCTCACAAACAAGAAAAAGAACTCTTCACTTATATCGCGACGACTTAGTTGCAAAAATCTGATATGTAGCATGCCTGATATTCCACTTAAAGGGAATGTGGTGAATATGACATAAACTAAATATAAAACATAACGTCGTTCGTAGATTAATTTACAAATATAGTAAAGAGGTTTAGAAGCAATAAATATGGTGCGAGTTGCTTTGCAAATTTGTGCTACATTAGAAAATGTAGGAGAACTAAAAACTAATCATCCAGATTATGCATTTTTCCTTAAGCTGACTTGCACAAACTGCGGAGAGACAACGGATAAGTGGCATGATATTACTGAATCAGAGAAAACGCAACAACAAGATTCCTCCCGGAATCCAGAAGGTTTCAATTTCTGTATGAAATGCAAGATGTGCGGTCGAGAGAATACTATCGATGTTGTAGAAAAATCGAATGGTACGTTGCAAAGAAAGTTCCATATGAATTGAATTTTAATTTCAACGCTTTACGCAGATGTTTACACGGAAAAAGATGCCGGCAAATTCAAGACTATTGTAGTGTTTGATTGTCGCGGCGCAGAACCAATAGAATTCTCACCACGTACTGGTTGGATTGTGCAATCAGCTGACAATGGCCAAGCATTCGAAGATGTCGATCTTTCCGAGGATGATTGGGTTGAATACGATCAAAAGAATCAAACCCCTGTGGGTATATATGAATTTGGCGCAAAATTTATCAAACTAAAAAAATGAATGCAAAATATACCTTCAGAGGACGATTAATTTTAATATTCAATGACATTTTCTTTTCAAGCCCAGTCGTAATAGCATAGTACATAAAGTTGGCTAATTTTAAGACGTAACTAATGGGAAATTGAATTGGAGCTTATACAAATCTCTTCTAGGATTGTCTGAAATACCAGTGAATAAAAAAATAGTTGTAATCTTTGCTTGTGGGGATCAAGACTTGTCTCTACGAAGATCAAACCTTTTTTTTACTTCTTATATGGGTTGAAAAATCTTATTGAGAACTATTTCAATGAGGATTTTTTTCGAGCCCTTTGCATATTATTTTGATCATTTCTTTCAATTTCATAGAGTGGCAAACTCTATTGTGCCTGGCTGTCTTACATGTAGCTAACCTGGATATATTTATTAAAATTAGGGCGAAATATGTTAAGAAATGATATCATAAAAGCATATCTTTTTATGTAAATTGTATGCAAAATTTCGACCATTACTTCGAAATGACTGATACCGTATCCTTCAGACTGTAAGAGGCACCTTTTTACATAAAAATATGGACTCAAATTTTGGGTACGCCTTATGGTCCATAGGTAACATTAAAATATTTTTTCAATAAATTGTCTCTAAATTTGAAGTTTGAAAGGAGTCACAATTATAGCTTAGATGAAAGCAATACGAACGATGACATTAACGAGAGGAGTGATAGTCCCGAGAAAAAAGTTTACTGAATATTGCTAGTACGAGTAATGTTAACAGTAAATAAAAAGGAAAGTAAAAAATATTTTTCTAAGTGTGCGCCTTATCGTTCGGTGCGCATTATAGACCGAAGGAGACGGTAAACTAGAAACACCCAAAAACTTTAATATTTTTAACGGAAAGTCACAAGCACATAACAATATGAGGAATATATCAGACACGCTCACGCTTTTCACATTTATTCCTATTTCGGTGTTATTGTTTATTTTCGTCCTTCCGTTTTCTGTGTTCAGTTTTAACTTTCCTTAGACTACTTGAGATAAACGAATAATATCTGCTTCTTAGGTTTTCTCTAATGACTTTTATACAGTGTAGTATTCCCATTTATTATATATGGAAAGTGGTTCTGTCTGTCCGTCTATAATCTGCCTTTTTATGTTCTCAGTGCAGGCTGCAATTTTTCAGACATTTTGATGGAATTTGATATACAGACGTACTTTGGCCCCTATATGAGCGCTATTGAAAATAGTTCGGCTGGCTTAACTTTTGCGACAACTCCCTATATAACGCCCAATTCTGAAAAGTCGTTAAAATTAAAAAAAATTGCAGAGTAGCAGTATTTCTACCTCTCTCTCTTTTCTACCCTCTCTCATATAACGAAAGCTGAAGTTCATACGACAAAAAAGCAACAGCAATGTGATATAAAAAAACTAACTGTACCATATTTGAATTATCTTGGCCTATTTTTTGTATCCTACCCTAATAAGGATTTCCACGAAATTCTTTCTATGAACAGAAAAGTATGTTGTAATATGTGGTGGTGAAAATCGAACCACCTTGAGACCACAAAGCTTTGCTTCTACAAGTGTTGAAAAGGCAATCTAATATTTACAATGAGTAACGGTATTTGCATGATATGTAGCTCTTTCAAAGAAAAAAAATAAATTTCGTGTAATATTTTTACATCGAATGATAACTACTTAGCTAGTCTATAGATGATAAAGCTTACCTTTATTTCCTATAAATTTATTACAAAAAATATTTAATAAAAATATATCATTTTATTCCTCATTACCTTATAAACGATTGCTATTTTAAAACCTTTTTTAAAAAGGTTCTCCTCAACAATAATTCATTTCTCACATGTTACTTATATTTATTAAAACATCCATATGCTATAAAAGTTAAAATCACAAATAAAAAAATCTTAATAATATGAATAATGAAATCAAAAAAAAATTTGTTATGAGTAAAAGATATAAAAATATGTTATATGTCGTATTCGCGAAGCGACTCTTTTTCGATCAAGAAAAATGTAAATCAAAGAGCGATAGATTGAAGAAATGGAAACTTTAAATAATTATGATCTATGATCTATCTATTTAGAGAGCGTAAACATAGTTTAGTTTAGTCTGTGCGGACAAACAAAAAGAAGACTTAAATCCACTCCGCTAATCAAGCTAAGGAACAATGTGTATAAGGTTTGATCTGTATTTGCAACTTGCTGTCATAAATTGCAAATATTTTATAATCCTCATATCTTTTCCGATGTTAGGCATGAGAGGTAATAGAGTCGAAACGAAAGTCGACGCTTTCAATTATAAAATGATAACATTATAGGTTTCAAATGAATAAAATTGGAAATAAGTGAATATATTATAAAATAAAGATGGGATATAAAGGACTTTTGTTTTTGGTTTAAGAGAGTATCGGATCTTAAGCTTAATACATAAATAAGACAAAGTTAGTAGGATCTACTTAAAGACAAGTTTTATCACTTATTTGAATTTTGTTTTTAGGAAAATGAATAAACAAGTTACACAAGTTCGTCTTTGGCCGAACTTTGGATATCCACCACCGTTTCTTAAAATCGTCACGTGCCCCTTTTGTTAAATGTAAACTATTTATATAACGGTTTCTTTGGTTTACAGATGCGCAAATTTCTCTGCTCTAGTTCTTACCATATGCAAATTTTCCAAATATTCAGAACTGTATTAAAATTATCTGAAGTTGTAATTTTCACAGACAAGAAAATAAAAATCACATTTCTATCTGTATTAATAAAATATATATATATTTTACTTTATCGAATATCATCTGATATATATTTCTGTGTTTAGAAAGCGATCCTAATATCTTCCTAAGGTGGATATAGAAAAGGAACTTGTTATGTAAAGGAAAAAGACGAGTGTGCATTTTAGTTAGTGTACATTCTCTGATGCATATTGCGGCAGATGACAAGGTTAATGAGCAATATAAAAAATAGTATGTGGACAGATTATAATAAAAAATTAATTACACTTATCGGCTACAATTGGAAAGCGTACGACTCGTATTTCGTTTCCATAATCACAGACTACAGAATCAGAAGCGAGCATCATAATTTTAGGACACAATTGCATATTCGCAAAATCCAGCTTAACTTCCCGAGCTGGCTCGCCAGTACGTACATCCCAAACAATAAGAGATCCTTTAGAGATATGTAAACATAATGTTTGTAAACTATTTATTAAAATTTCTCAAAATATTTACCCATTTTACTGGTAACCAGCAGAGATGGCGTCAGCATTAACAGATTTGAATAAGCATTTGATATATTAATTGTTGTCAATAGATTGCCCTGAAAACGTTCCCATACACATACACGTTCATCAGTTCCCAAAGAAATAACATAACTAGGAGCACAAGCCAGACAACTGAGAGCACCGTCATGAGCCTGTATGCTGTACATGCAAGTGCCTGTGTGTAGATCCCATACGCATAAAAGACCGTCTTGTGATCCGGAACCGCCTGTACCGGGCTGCCAACGATCCACAAATAGACAAGTTATTGGTCCGCAATGTCCATGCAGTGTATACTCAATATCCGAATTGTTTAAAGTGTAAACCTGCTCTTAATCAATTAATTATGAAATAAGCAAGAAAAACTTCTCTGCAAATATTGTATTTCACCTTTAACGTATGATCTTGACTTCCAGTAAACACCATTCCGTTGACAACTTCCATACACGTGATAGGCTGCTGATGAGCCAACCGCACGCTTTGCAATGTACATTTCATCTCTTCTTTCGTTTGACTAGCAAGATACTGTTGCGGTTGCTGCTGTTGTTGCTGCTGCTGTTGATGCATTATGCTTATGCTGCCGGTAGAATTGGTCCGAACATGAGCTATCAGTCAAAGAAGGTTATTGATCAAATTTATATATATATACATATATATATATAAAGAGTATTCTTCTCACTTCTTCTGTAGGCTGAAGTAAAATTCCAATCGATTTGTTTCCCTTTATAATAAGTTTCCAGGCGATAAAAATCCAAACGTCCGCATAGACGCGCCACTATAACACGATCTCCACTTAAATGTATATGTGTGATGCCCTGATGTCTCTTTGAGCTTTCATGATAAGTGCACTATTATAGTGTAAAGTTACAATAATAATAATAATAATAATAATAATAATGAAAGTCTTGTTGAAACTTTTAATTTTCTACCTTTAAAATGCCACCCGGTATTTCCCAAAATTCAATGCGTCCGTTGGCGCAACCAACAGCGATTAAATTATCAAAACAATCCAAACACCAGACTGGCGATGAATTCAATTTACGCACCATTGCATCGCCATCCTCGCGATACGTAACTACTTGCATATCGCCGCGGTTAATGGTGGTCACATTTTCACCGCTACGGGAGTCCCAAACTTTAATTTGTCCTTTCAAGCAGCAACTAATGATGTTCGCCCCATCCGATACCAAGCATTCTATACGATGTTTATGGCCAGCAATTTGTGACGGTACCCCTTCCAAAATTTGTTCGGTATTCGGTGAAAACTCGGAACATTCATTCCAACTGGAACGCCATTCAGCGTAATTACGCGTACAAATGCAACGATAAAAAACTACCATAGTATAACATAATACAAAGACACTGATACAACACAAAGTAATGGCGAAAAAAATTTCCATGGGGCTTTTAGGGAATAATGGGGTACCGCCGAGCATAATAATGGGTGATTCACGATTGTCGTCGTCATTAAAATCTAAAGGATCTAACGCGGCGGCCAGTGCTTTCCACTGGAAATTTTGCACCACCTTCTCATTAGGATTTCTTATGAGCAACGCTTGTTCGGGATTAATTGCATGCGATAATTTAATGGTAGGCAATATGGTAATGTAATGACCTCTTAATGACATGTTATACTGCTTCATAATTGTTGACCAATGAAAATTTGAAAGAAAATAGTTTAGTTCATAGTCGGGATAGAACAAACGCTTCAGTTCTGCCTCGGTTTCGTTCACATGGCCTTCGGCAAATCGTTCTGCAAAATGAAAATTCGAGCTTTAATAATATGTAAAGAGGAAAATATCTCTCTCTATATATTTTACCTGCATAGCCATTGGATCTTATTCTCCCGGAAGCTTTATCTTGATCGTTATTCGTTGTTGATTGGCCATTAAAAGCATGAGATTCCATGGGTTTGGCATGTAAAACAGTCTGCACATTGTTTATAAAACTGGACACTGCACCGCGACCGGCTTCCCAATTACGTTGAAACTCCTCCCCGCCAAAAGCCGTAGTGCGATTGTTATCCAAAACAAAAAGAGTTTCCAAATAACCGGAATTATACACAATATAACAAATCCAAACGCTCATCCAGACCATAAAGGCTCGTTGGAAGAAACGTGTGCGAGCCCAAAAGTTGACAATTCTTAAACGTTTCGGAATACGATCATGATTATTCGCCGCGCACATACCGCCATTGGCACTCAAAGTTATAGAAGACCGTTTAGGCATGTCAGTACCACCCGATGGATTATTGAAATCGCCAAAAGCTAATTTCGGATGCGATTGCGAGCGATGAAATCCTCCATGTACAAAATTTGATGAAGAAAATCCACCACCACAGGCACCTCCGTTGCCCATTGAATTTGCAAAGTTGCCAAAAAAACGAAAATCCACGCGCCCATTATTACCCAAGGAACTGTAACCGTTGATTGGCGAAGAAGTTGGACTCACCGTAAAGGACATCATCATTTTTGGTAAGTGCTTAGCTTCTTTTGAATATTCAGGCCTTTTAATGTTCATGGCCAAAATGGTCGAGAATAACAACATTTGCAACATATAATCGGACAATAGTCCCACTATGGCGAATATACAAAACTCTTGAATAACTGGCACAAACGTAGCCAGTCCTATGGTCAATATTGTAATTTCTGTAAGCAATGTTTTAGAAATGTGCCAGCCCTCCTTGCTAAGGGCTTGAGCAACTCTGATCTTAACATCGAATGTTTCATCGGTTGAGACAACACTACGTGTAATAACCAAACAATTTTCCAAGCCCAATAATATGACCAAATAGGGAAACACATCTTTTGATTGTAAACTGAGAGTTAGACCAAAGAAAAAGCACAAACCCAATGACATGACCAAGCTGCCAAAAACCGTAATGGCTGCACATAAAGCCAACAATAATCGGGATCGTATAACATCAATTTTTCGTACCGAAAAGTACACATATGTGAAAAGCAATACGAACGCTGTGGTTAACGGTAAAAATTCCCACATTTTAAATTCACCCGGATAGAAAATGTACGTAATCGAGGATTTGTCTTGGCTTGGCGAAGAGGTAGCAACTTTCTGCAATGGTGGATAGTATTCGAATAATTTCTCCTTAAGACTTTGAAAGTACTCATGATCGTTTTGCTTCAAAAACAAAGTGATGGCGTATTGGATGATACGGGAACGCGAACGCAACGGATAACGCCTAAAACCCGTATCCTGCATTGGTAAGCCAAAAAGCATTTCCGCAGTCGATACTTTACTTTTTTGAAGATTCTGCAATGACAGTAAAAATAATCACATAATTAATAAGTCATCTCCGACCCCTTCTACAAATACAACAAATGCGTAAAGATAAAAACTTGGTCCACGGATGTGTTCTAAGTACAATATTTTATACAACTTTCCGATTTTCCCAGTCGCTGGCAATATTTTAACTGCGATCTACGCTGATGTCCTATTTTCATCTAGTGATCCCATGAATGTTTTCAACGATCAAATAAATGCTGAAATATCTACGCTTACCACGTTTGCGGACTAGAACTAAAGGTCCTTATGCTTCATTGTTTTCGAATGGCAATCTATTCGAAACCGTGTAAAGTGTCTTGCGTTTTATATATTGATCAAAGATTAACATGGAAAAATCATATCACAAGACTCTATTGGATAAGTCGTCCAAAATCTCAATTTAATCTAAGAAATCAGTCCTTTTTACTCAAAAGTATAGTCCAACCTAATTGGACTTTTGACATACAAGTGCGCAACAGCCAATAACTCTAATATTAAAATAATCCAAAAATATCGTATACTAGATATTTGTTTTTTGTTCTCTTTTGTTTCCTCTTGTCTCGTGCGAACCACATTTTCAACAGTGGGAGCTAAAGGACATTAGCTTACCAAAATTTCATCAAATTATCTCCAAAATTATGGAGACGTGTAGATTGGTCATAAGAAAAGCTTAAATCGAATCAGAAAGTAATTCTGCATCGATCGTTGTAATAAAAGGTAGGTCCTATCTCAAGTTCTTCGGAGTATTATATACATACGCACAAACTTAATGTACTCTTATACTAAAGATGGTGTAGGCTATAGTAGTTGAAGCCTCTACTACCCTATATACATAGACAGCGGAACTATTTTTTTTATGACCAATCAGTCAAAATTGCGCCATGTAACGCGGTGAAGCTCGGTAAGCAGTGAGGAGAGGAAAGCAGATAGCAGCCGCAACCTAGTCGCAGGGTGTTCAGTTGGTTACCTTTATGCTTTCACCGATCCGTTCTTCACGTCCCATTCGCTGGCCGAGTGCTTATTTTATTTTTATCAATATGTCATTCATTTTGAATTTTTTTCTCAAATTTTTGCTTGTTATTATTCGAGTTTGATTTTCGCGTGCTCCACAAAACTTTTAATTGCGTGTAAAAAAGTTAAAAAAATTTGAAAGCCAGTGTTTTGAAGAAGTGTGCATTTTACTGTAATTTGCGATTACTAATCGATCGCGCAATATATTATTATATGTAGTCATGAAATGAGTTTTTTTTTTTTTCTTTCAATTTATAACAAAAACTAAGCCAAGCTGTCGTTTATGCCATTCTTATTTAAAAAAGGGGCTTCTGTAAAAAGTGATGTTCAGTTCTTGAACCCAAACAATTTTGGCCGCTTTTTCACACAATCTGCTGTTATTCAATCAATAACATGAATAATTTTGGCGAATAAAGTCATTGAGAGTTCATAGTTTAGTGAAGTAAGCCAACGCTTTAAAATAAGCCCAAACTAAAAAGTTCACCGAGTCACTTTTGATCACGACTTGATGACTTCACGATCATTGAACCATTTTCCCAATAAATCTAGGTTTGTTGAAATTATCCGATTTTTGCCACAAAAAGTCATTTGCCATTTTTTTTGCGTTATCATCCATTGAAGGTAATTGCAATGCCATTTTCATCTAGGCCGATAATCCGCAGATCTACCTTTCCCATCCGCTTGGACAGATATATGTTTTGGCTTAGCAGGTTAACGCTGATTTTGATCGGATTGCGTTAAAGTTAAACTCCACCACCACTAAAACTATTGTAATAACACCCGTTGCGTATGAGACTAACTTCATACCTGACCTACTATTATGCTAGCAGCAGATGAGCGAATTGTGACATTGTCGATGTAGTGACAAATGCTTGGTTTAAAATTAATTATAGACTGACTACAAAGGATCATGTCGGGTAATGAAATTAGACAGTATTTTAAGGTTTTCGTCGTCCTTTGTTCCTGATGAAACTAAATTAAGGCTGGTTTAATGCTTGGTTTCATTCTTTTCGTCATATACGCACCATCACACATTTTAGACCTCCTTCAAATCAAACCCACAAGAACAGAACAGAATTTCCAATATAAACATTAGCCCTGAGCTTAAAGTCAAGGATGATTCCTTAGTCGTTAGGGTAAGACGCACTCTCGAAAACGTAGTTGCTGATTACATACAATGTAGGCAGCAAGCTTGTCCACGACAATGAATAATACCCACCTAAGAATTTATTCAAATCACGTTAAAAAAAATTGCCATCAGGTAGCGCATCGATAAACTGGTACATTTTGACGTCGGCTGTAAACATTAGAACTCTAGAATTCTGAATACAACTATGGAGATCATTTACAAATAGAAAGAAAAGAACAGGCCCAAGATGACTTTCCTAAGGGACGCCAGATTGCGCGGGAGATATAAGAATTAAAAAGCAATCTTTGGAAAAGAAGAAATCAGTGTAAATTACGTTAGTCTGCTTATACTCCTCGAACGCTGTGAAAGCATCACCAGTACATGCCAACAAGTTGGTAGCCGTGGGTCTCACTTTCGTAAAAACTATCTTGGCGTGAATAGATTATCGGCGTAATCTCCAGTTTAAGCTGCTTAGTGACTAAGGCTTCAAACAGCTTTGGCAATGCACTAAGCTTAGCCATTCCTCTGTAATTCTTAATAATATTATTTGATCCACGCACTTATAAATAGAAATAGCACAGCTAGACTTCCAGCTAGCAGCCTTTCCGCAACGTATGCAATTACTGCAGTAAATCTTACTGTAGGTGTTAAACATGTAAACCACTACTCTTGAATATTTTGAACAGTCTACTCCTTCCGTTCAGCAAAGGTCTCAACTACTTGTTAAACCAGATCGGACACTTTCAAATCGTCGAGATCGGGCCAACCAAAATACCAAATAACTTCAGATAGTTTGCATGTCAGTTTGTCAAAATGGAATTTGCCGAACATAAAAGAGCCGCTTCTAACAACCTTGTAGCATGTATCACTTGCAACTTCCCATTCAATGTTATCAGCAACGTAGAGTGATAGGCATCCTCGGATAAAACGAACGGATTTTCCCGAGTGATACAGTTTTTCGTATCGTTTAGGGACACTAAGTTCAGGTTTCGCACCTTCCCATTATAAATATTGCATAAGGACAAACTCACAGATTCTATCAACAGAGTCATTACACGCTAATGAGACCGACAAAGATGTAAAATAACAAAGTTTGTCAATACGAAACCATGTAACGCTCGACAACTTGAAATCACCCGAAGATTGAATCCCTGGGCTTGATGAGGATAATTCCATTACCTTTTAAAGACAGGGGACGCATACAAATTATGGGACCTGACGTAAGAGGAACACAAGCGCATGTAATTTACAATTAAGATGACTGTTGCTTGACTTTTGCAACCACAAATTCCACCTCAATGACAAACATAGGGAAAAAAAAGAGAGTAGACAACACATTTCTTACTGCAATAAGCCCACCGCAGCCGGTCTATGTATCGTGTCGTTACGAAACAATCGATTATCTGATGAAAAAGTTGCGCAATCCGTACTACCTGGCTTCAGCCAAGTTTCGGTGAATGTTACAACATGATAGTCACACCTAGTCGAGTTTGTCCTCAGACGACGGGCGTTCTGATAGAGTACAACAATTTCGGCATTCAATTTTTTGAATCAAATCTGGAACGACCTTCCTGCTCTATGAATATACTTGTTAACCAAAAGGCCTTTCGGCCGCAATTGCTTCTCAACCAAACGATGAAACCAACAACCTGGAACAAGTGGTGTAGTAAGGCATGAAAACATCTATCTGCAGCGTACAGTCAGACCTTATCAATGATATATTTATTAAAGTCGGCAAAAATATATGTAGTACGAAAGTAGGATATATAATCTTTTGTGATCCGCCTGAGTAGGCGAAGGCGAGGAATCTCGACTAGCAAGTCAATGGTCGTGGGTTCGAATCTCAAGTGCGGTAGAGTTTTTAATAAAAGTCGATAGCCTTAGATGCAAGTGCTTTTAAGAGTTTAGTCTTAGAATTTATTTCTCTGGCGAAATCAATAATAATAATAATAATAATAATAACAATAATAATAATAGTCTTTTGTGGTCTTCCTTTATATTTTTTCTGATTATTTTAAGACGATGAGAGCCGCAACAACGCCTACATTTTTTTGTTTTTTTAATTTATAATGATTTTATATAAATCATATGTTTATTTGACCATTCCCCTCCTTGCCAGTTATGAATAAAGAAAGGCAAAAATAGAGGATCAATTTTATTTTTTACTTACGTGATATTGAAAAATCGTGTTCAGAATATTTGTGTCTCCGGTAAAATTTTGCAAATTCTGTGCCCAAAGATTGGCCGGCGATAAAATCAGGCATCCAAATTCGGGAAATAATTGCTCATGTTGTGAACGCTTCGCACTATCTACACGCAAGCAGATTTTATCCAAAGTACGTTGGCTATAAAAAGGAGAATTAAAGGAGATTAAAAGTAGATAAGATAAAAAAAAAAAACAACGGAATGAGTTCAAGGATATAAAGCCTACGCTATGGTAAATGGAAAGATTTGTTTCTTTCTTTCTCCCATAAAAACGTAATCAACTTAATTGATCTTCTTATATAATAACTGATTACCACGTCATGTCGGAATTTTGCTTAGCTGTAGTTGAAAATAAATATAAATATATGAACTGCTTTTTTTTATATACTTTTCTTTTGATTTGCTTCATTTTCGCCTTTTTTTTTTTTTTTTTTTTGTTGCTCTTTTAGAAGCTGCATTAAGTTGTTTTGAGATCAATTCATTCGAAAATCATTAATCATCTATTTATTAAAAGAAATGAATCGTAACAAATTGCTGTCTACGACACATACGTAATTATTGCAATTGTGCACACACACACATGCATACAGATCACAATTTTATTGCGGTTTGATAACCTTTTCCCTGGATAATGTCTCCTTTTTTTCAAAAACCAGGATTCACAAAATATCTTAGGTATATTTAAAAAGAAAAAATTGAAACAAATTACGTAACAGTCTGAGCTATTTGATTTTATTACATATTTAATAAAATTTTTATGAAAATTATAGAAAATGAATGACGCAACCAACAGACAGACATCAACTGATAGGATGGGTCTCATTGTTTATATAAAAATTTATTTAAAAAAAAAAAGACAAATTTACTTACTTTTCTACCGACTCGTGATTTCGCACAATTTCAAGCAATTTAAAAACTTCGTAGAGCGGTGCACGAAACGCGTCCATTAATTGCATTTCATCAATCCATGGCAAGATACTTGCACGCAGTGTTATTTGTTGTACATAAAGTATAGGTGAACTTTGCGCCCATGGAAAATGCGGCTCATACATCGATGCATTATTGGTCATAAATAAATTCTTAACCATCGAATAGTTGTAATTGCTATTGATACTACGTTCACCATCGTATAAATTATACTTCCCCTCAAACGGTAAAACGATTTTTGTGGGAATTGTACCAGGCAAAGGTATGTTAATTAAAGGGTAACTGGGAAAAAGTAAAAAAGAAAAGAAAATTAATAAAATGAATTTTCATTCATTCTTCGCTCTCATGGCCAAAACTTTCGCTACAAAATGAAGAATATCTTAAATTTGCTACGCCATCTATAATACTTAAGAATGAAGAAATATAAGTAGAATAACTTATATATACCACGGTTTGGCTGCTTTTTGAAACACTGACACATATGAGAATTTTTCCTAGTCATGTCTCATTGTTTGTTTACGCCTTCTGAGTAAATTATAACTTTTTGTCTATTTTGATATTCAATGCCAAATCTTGGAGGAGCCATAAATTTGTTGCTCCCCTTTTTAAAACTCAGAACTACTCATCATTAATGATCTCGTAAAATATTTTCATGCATTCTTTATAGACATAAGTTTCTAAGTCGACTTAATCCTTTCTACTGATTTGATACTTTGCTTGTTCGTTATCTGTTGTAATGGCCATGCGTTAACTTTACGATACGTTAAAAAATATAAATTAAATCTAAAAAATTGTAAATTTGAAATTTCTATACGCCTCGCTGAACGGCAGATTACGTATCTAGTATATAAAAATATATTTGTGAACTTGAATCTAGGGGTCGATTAATATGTATTGTCTTGTTTGGTTGTTAGAAGAGGGAAAAAACTCCGCACACAGCTTGACTTTACATGTCGTGGTTAAAATATATATGTTATAACGAGAAAATAATATTCGGCTGTGGCCGAATCTCGCATATCCACCACTATGCTTTTTGCATTCTGCTCTCCAAGTTCTTTTATTTGATACCCACATCGCTGCTGTTATTAAAAAAGAAATAAACGCGGTGTCCACCCTATTCATTTTAAAATTAACCCATGTTTGTACCAAATAGTGTGAAAAAAATAAAATTTACAAAAGTTACTTACTAGTACGTTTGTGTGGGCATGGCCGATTATGTCCATTTTTGGACGTAAAGAGTAGAGTATTCCGTAAAGTAAATGTGCAAAATTTCAGGTCTATAACTTGAATAATTGCCGAGTAACGAGAAAAAATTCAAAAATTTAAGAAAGGGGGGAGTTGCGTCCAGTTTGCGCTCCACTGCGCGCCTCTGCTCTGACCAATTTGGCTCATTTTCAATATCAACCCGCATGCAAGCTCTTCCATTGCTTCTACTAAATTTGAAGTCGACATCCACATTTTTGCGACCAGGAGAGTGCCAACAACAAACATCACAAAAGGCAGACAGACAGACAGACAGAGAGACATGGCTAAATCAACTCAGAATCTCGCGCTGATGAGGAATATATATACCTTATAGAGTGTCTGAAGCCTCCTTTTAGGTGTTATATATATTACGAAAAAAAAAAAAAAAAAAATGAGTAAAACCACCACCTTGCAATAGTGGATATAATAATGTAGTGAATATCAAGAAATAATTTATTTACTTACACCAACGAAAGGCTAGAACCAGATATTTTCAATATTCAGAAAAAAAATTTCAGAGATCGCAAAATGTATTTAATCACTATCAAATGTTGAATCGATTCAGACATGTTTGTCCATCCGTCCCTGTGTATGCCTATGGCAACCATTCTCTCGATCGCAAAAATAAAAATATTGCCTTCAAATTTGGCTAAGACCCTCTAAATACTTTCACGTAAGTTAGAAATAGAAACTGAGAACATCCCTACTTTCAAAAAAACATTTGTCACGTGTCTTGTGAATGATCATACAGTGTCTACACAAAAATAGTTAAGCCCACATAGTATTACGGAGTGTCGTAATTCCATTTCTTTTTTTTCTACAACAGTCAAATGTAATTTTCTTATTCAATTCTTTTTCATATTTTTATATATCTATCTATAAGCCACGGAAAACTGTATAGATTAGAAAGATCCATTTGTCTACAAGCGTTACAATCATTGTGAGTAGAGTGAGTAGATCATTGAACGACAAGATATTATGATGATGATGATGGTGATGATGATGAAGTGTAAGATGTGAAGAAAACATATCTAAGCATTCCCATAATCAACTCATTGCATCTTTTGAAAATAATCTGCAAGAGATAAGTTGCCTTTCAATATCTATTTCGGTTAGAAATTCTCTACACTATGACAAAGTGCGAGAATTTCATAATTGCGCGTGATTTTCCCTGATCAAGATATTCTCAATTAATCATTTCGCACGAAAACGAAATAATTTTCTTATATTCTCACTAGAGTGAATAGATAGAATGTGATAAAAGCGAACCCGAGGAATTCTATATTATTTATAATGGATCGGTTTTACTTTGTTAGAAATTAGTGACGTAAAGATTACGTACGATGCCAAATATTTGGCAAATCAGTGTTCTCACTTTGCTTGCACAGATTCAATGAAATTGAAAAAAAAAAAGAGCAAAAAAAAAGAAAGATTGAAATATCAATTTTACCCACTCCTCTCCCCCATTTTGTATTATTATTTATTTTCTTATTCATTCACACCTTTTATACTAACGTCTTTCAGTTTTTACATTTATAATTGGGAAGAGGGTGTTTTCAGTGTAAACAATACGTCAGCGTTTTGTGTATTATTTTATATTTGTCAAATAATCAGTCAATTAATGATTTATTGGAAGGGTTTAGAAATATGAAACTATCGCTTTTAAATATGCACACTCTGAAGTGCTGTAAACACTGCTCTATCAGAAAGAATTACATGCGAAATTTTTGACGCCTGTAGAAAACGCTACAATTTTCAACCAAAGCACTTATTGTACTGAACGAGAAATTGTTAACACGTTAAGGACGGCGCAGTTTTTCCTATTTCGCATAAGCATTCGCTTGTGAGCCACCGGTGATACACACTGTCCTTAACGTGTTAAACAAATAAAAATTTGTCAAAAGCTGAAAGAAGAAATTTCCCTATCCGGAGAATTATTGACCGGTTTGTTAATTTACTATAGCGTGAAATGTATTTTTCGTATTTTTCGAACTATAAGATGATTTTTAAAAAATACTTTCCGATCAAAATTGTTATATATTTTTAACATAACTCGTACTAACAATATTCAGTCCATTTTCAATCTCGATACTATCACACGTCTCGTTAATGTCACCGTTCGTCTTACTTCTTCATCTGAGCTATTGTTGTCGTGCCTCAAATTTAGAGACGATTTATTGAAAAACATTTTAATTTTACCTTCGGATCATAAGACATATCCAAATTTTGGGGCCATATATCTATGTGCAAAGGTGTGTTTCATATTGCGAAAAATACGGCACATTGATGTCGAGAAATCGCAGTTATATCCAATGCAATGTAGCACAACTTATATACCTCCCGTTGAAAGTCGGTTAAACCTTACATACATTTTCAATATATGGTATAGGGAGAGTCTTCGGTCTATATACGAATATGCGATATCTGCCATCATACTTTCAATGAAGCGTACAAATAACAATCGCAGTTAAATAGCTCATTCGGTTGGTCCGAGAAGGATTAACCATTGATTTTTAATATTTTTGTTTAGAGGATTTTTAAATCCAACTCAATGAAAGTAAAGAAAAGAAACAATCTCCCGCTCTTGCAGACAGAGTTTGCAGATCATAATCGCATTTCCAAAAAACGTAGATAAAATGACCAAAATTTACGAGCCCTTTCAGACTAGGACGAATGACATTATCATGTAAGACGTCCACCGTTCCCTTCGCTCATAGAATTTTTCATAATCAAAACGTGGCCCTCATATTCACTACAAAACTCTTCAGTCCTAAAACTGCCATATAAGACGTCTACCGTTCCTGCACTCGTACTATTTTTCAAAATTGAAACGTGGATCTCGTATTCGTTACAAAACTCTTCAGTCTCAAAACTTGCATTCTTTTATTCCCTGATTCCTCTTATAGTCACTTAGTCACGGAGGATTCACATTTCGAGGCATCCTATAATTATAAAAATAATAATTTCAACTTACCAGGAGAATAGTATAGCGACAATTGCTATGCTAGTAGCACAGGTAGGATAACTGGACAAAAATAACCCGTGTTTATAATAGATATGGGACACAGCACTAGGAAGACCAGAAGACTGCTTAGATTTTTGTATAGATGCCGGCATTGAATTAGATGATAATAAATTATAGTCACACGATTGGACGGCGTTAATATTATTAATGTTATTGAAAGGTTTATTATAAGGTTTTCCACTAATGTTTTCTACAGATGCAAGAGCCGCAATAGGCATAACGACGGGTTATTCGATGCGAGTATCGATTAACGAAAAGGAAAAAGTATATTACTATAAATTTATTTAAACCTTGATACGTTTACTTTATTTATTTATTTATTTATTTATTTGTACATAGAGATATTTGATTTTAAATGATCTTTTCGCTTATATTTAACACTTGTTGACATTCTATATGTTTAGGCTTTTGTTGCTTTGTAAACATAAATAAATTACTCTTTCTGTTGTTGTTATAATTTGCCATAAAGTACACACACATATTATATAAGATTTAATCAATATAAAATATATATTTATATTGAACACTTTAATACAAATATATTTTCACTTTTTTCCACCTTCTGTCCGTTGTGCAAGCTTAAGACTTCTAAGGTCTAATTAGATAGCAGCGGTTGTAACGTTGTTGTCATTGAAGCTATACTTTTCTTTTCTATTAGAACTGTCATCCTTTACGCATTCATTCTTAAATTTCCTTTGAAAGCTTTTTAATTTATGCATTATTTTTTATATTTTAGCACATCTTTGTTAATATATATATATATATATATATATATATATATATATATAAAATGATAGAATACTAAGTAGTGATTATTTTCATTATCGCATATGTGTACAAAGCAGGCGCGCAACCAAGATAATATTCAGTTAATTTCTCGTTTACCATTTGTTTAATTGACACTCATATTGCGTTGTTCTGTAAAAAATATCGACATCGTTCATTTTTTATTATGTTCTTTAGCCGTGCATTCCCTTTTTTTACTGATCTCTTCAATCATATGCAAAATGCCACGACGCGGTATTATATTAAATTAAATTTGCTTCTTACAGCTTACAGCTGCACAAATTCCCACTGAAAGGCGTGCATTCTTTTACGTCACCTTTACATTGCATTGCTTAAAATTTTCCGCTTCGTTCCCACATTTTAATCAGGAGCATGCATATTACTTGCTATTTATATATTTTAATTCACGTTTTATATATATATATATATATATATATGTATATGTATACCTACGTATTTACAATGCACTTAAAAATAACATTTCTTTTAAATAAGAGTGTGTTTCTATAAATTTGTTTGAGAAATGACAACACATTCTGATTAGAACGATGCACTATATTTTATATATAAATATTGTAATCGAACAGATGACCGTTGACAGTAGTAGTGGTAGTATGTAGTAGTTGCCACTATATTATAATTAAGGTGATACCAGCTGGGCGATGTGAAAATCCATCATAGATTTGGGGATAATAAATATTAAAAAATTGTGATCGCTTTTTCACTTGAAGAAGTCATTTATTGCGGAAAACTGGTACAATATATTCCATCATTTTCTACAACAGTCTACAGCATTTTTGGCAACATGGCGATCTTATTTCGAAGGAACTTAAATTGGTATGGCAGCGATCAACTCATCGACCCATATTGGCATTTCTTTAACTTTGCTTACCCACGTGCCAGTCAAGCTATGCTGCACCGATCTGAACAAATGGTAATCAGCAGGCGTCATGTCTGAAGAGTACGCTGGGTGTGGTGCAACTTCCCCTTTCAAACAGCAACAGTGCCTCTTGGGCAACTCTTGCAACAAGTGGCCAAAAGTGTCATTTTCAGCCAATTCGTGTCGTCACTTTTAAACTCTTCAACCCTTCAAGCCTCCGAACATGTTTGGAGAGTTTCGATACCGGGCTTCTTCAAATAAATGGACAAAAGTAATGAATTTGAATGGAAGGTGAAGAATTTTGAGCTTCCCATGATTAGCGTTGGCGTACGCTGAATAGATCAATAATATTAAATGGAAACCTTTTATTTTATGTAGAAGGAAGTCAAAACCATCGAAATGAGCTATTATGTGCACTAGTGTTTCCCATTTCTTTATCATTTTTACCAGTAGAAATCAAAGTTCAAAATTTTTGCAAACAACTAATATAACAGTTTTCGGTTAACGGCATTAGTACTTATCTTTAGTTGTAACCACCGATAATTTCTTATTGTTTTATAGTACTTTATAAATCATAACAAATATTCGAAATTACCATTCCACCATTTTTCTTCTATGAATAATATAGCTTCCACGAATATTTACTTACACAGATAGAATGAAATAGCAATTAATATAATTAATAAAATATTTCTTGATATTATGTAGAGTTGCATTTTTATTAATACTCGTAATCAGCTGAAAAGAAGGTGTTGAAATATTAGCAATAGCAAGAGGAATAATGTATATATATATGATAATAATGTAATATATGATTTACGTTCCGTTCTCTTCGAAAACCCTCCGCTAACTCAAACTTCATATATGCCTTAACGGAATTTAAAAAAAAAAAAGAATAATTGTAAGACAAAGTGGCAAATGCCGTACGAAAATTATTCCATGTTCATTTTTACGATTTTTTTTTTCATCAATGTGTGGCGTTTTAATATATATTCATTTAATGATTTGGAATACATTTTAAAATATGCGTTAAGAAAAGTGTTATAATTTGTTCATTGTATTAGTTCATTTTTTGAAATTTTGTCACTCTGCACCAAGCAAATATCGTCCACTATTTGCGTACAGAAATGTCACCCGCAACTTGTAAATAATAATAAACATGTATAAGGAACTCATATCTCGGAACATGTTAAACGGTTCTTGCGATGTACGCTTGGACAGTTTATTGCGAGTATTGTTCTTATTTACGATTATTAACAATGACCAACCGTTCAATGCAAACATTACTAGCCAAATACAATAACACATATCAGGGAAGAATCAAAATGAAAGCAAATGAAGTCAATAAGCACAACGAGAAGCAGATAATACTAACTGTATATAATTTCCATAAAACATTTCCAAGACCAAAGTGTAGAGTTGGGGATTATGTTAGAATTAGCAAATTTAAAGGCTTTCTTATTAAATTGATTTGAAAATCGAATCCGTCGCTAACGAGTCAGCTGACTTTTGGTTGCGTTTCGGTTTATTTTCAATTTATAAACACAACCATTTAATTACCGCTTATTAATATAATATAATATAAATATATAATATAAATACTTATAATATACGCATAAATATGCAGTGACTTACTGCTGTACAAGTGCAAGTAAATACAAGTAAAAGTATATACAAGTATATACAAGTATGACGGCAACACTCTTGTTGTGCCTATATATATGCCGCACATATAAACTATATATATGAACTGTCGCAAGAGACGTAAATCAAAGTAGTGAAAAAACCAAAAAAAAGGTAGTTATTTAGATGCATTATAAAATCATATTTTCTTAAATATATTATTTTAAACATTTTTTTGGCAAATAAAATTTTCAAATATAAAAATTGTTATCAAAGTTCATGTAGTACGATCATTAAGATCATCATTATTCACGATGTTTAAACGAAATTCATACATAAAGTAATGAGATTTCATTTTCGCCATTCATATTTATAGGAAAGCAACTCTGTGCTCTCTTCTACATGCTCCTCTGCAGCTAACGGTCTGCAAAATATTAGAAATTTTGAAGGCCCGAACGCGTATTGCTTTGATCATTTGATCATTTCGATTGCACATGGATAACTGGTAAATACGTTGTTGGAGTTTTTTTACATTTTATTGTTTTTTTTTTTTTCTTAATTATTATTTGAATCCTTACAACTTAATTACGTCAACGAAACTGATTGGATATACGAATCGATAGACAGAAAAAATCATTAACATTGCTTCATCATGTTCTCAATATTAATAAATTTGTGGAAAAATACTGTGGAAAGAAGAAGGCTTGAACTGATTGCGAAATATGAGCAGGAAGAGGCGTATTTGGACGCAGAAATTGCTAGGGAAGACATTGAAATTGAACGCCTGTCAAGGAGACCTTTTATGCGCGGTGTTATTAGAGATCTTCCATCTTCACTTCGTTTCAGTGATGGGCAAGAAAATTTCCATCGTTTTGGACGCACCGGTAAAATATATTATAAGACACAATCGAGAGTTAGTTTTGTAAAGTTCCACTCTTTGTAATGTAGGTGTCATCACCTGGCTGCAAGAGAATCGTGGAAACATAGATGGCAGCATATATTTTGTAAATTTACTTATTTTAAAGAGATACATATGTATATTGTGATTATAATTAAATAGTTTATTAAAACATTAATTTGTGATGTCAAAAATAAGGAATACCTTTTTAATTCATTAAAAATTTATCTATTTGTACTATTAGTTTTGTTATTTTAATATTTATTAGAAATAATTTATTTTTATTACGAATAAATTTTATTATAAATGATTACAGATTATTTATTGAATGGGAAGTAATTTCTTTAAATTCGATGAGAATTATGTTTTAACTTTCTTATTTGACTCAATTATTCAGAATTGTAAACAAACATAGACGCTTACTCTCAGATTCTCTAAAAATATAGACGCTTACTCTCGGATGCCCGAAAAATGTATACATACAACTTTGGCATTACCCGAATTACGCGCGCTTTCGGTGAAATATTCTACAAAAATAAAATTTTTTCAAATCGGGCAATGATGGTATTAATAACAAACTTGTTCACCTAAAACACTATAAATACTTCAGACTAGCTAAAGTAAAAGACGGTAATTTCTTACTAGAAGAAGAAATCATCCATTGTTGTAATATTAATTTTCATCTGCTCGTATAAAAAATTTTACATGATATATATATATACTTATATTAATTTATTATACACAAATGCGTTGGTTGATAACATGCAGCTTAAACCTTTCCATCAATGCCTTTCGGGTGAAACTACTTCGGTATTTTCCCTCGTTGGAATAATGCATGTTATGTTTGTATCGATTTAATTTTCAATAGTATTCCTTAAAATATTTTTGCAATGCTTAGAGAATTCTTGAAAGTAAACAAAAGTTATAGAGAAATACATTTCTTTTAACTCTTGAACAAGCAACCTACGCTGAAAAGGACGAAGAACAAACAACCGACACCAAAAAGGAAGAAGAGCAAGCAAGCTACACCAAAAGAATTTACGTTTGATTTTCTCAAGTTTATATATATATTTACTTATATCTAGTGAAATAGGACGAGAGCAAATGAATTTTATAAACTATATCATGCGAATATACCGGTCCTCCTTGTTTATGCTGCTTTGCGGTCTGTATACCAATATTAGCCTCTACAGCTGGTTTAGGAAAAGCCTGCAGACTCCCGGCAGTAGATGGCTTTAAGCCCAATATCCAAACAAGATGCTGTAAGATTTGCAAAACAATGTGCCATGAAGTACCCAGAATACTGCCATTGCTATGAGCCAACACTAAAATAGCAAGCATACATTGCAAATTTTTAGTGGTTAACATGACTGACGCACTAGGCAAAGGTGTACCAGCGGCCACAATCGCCCGCATCTGTGCAAGTACTTATAAATTGATTGTTTAAACCTTGACTGCTGGAGCGAGTATGCTGTCGTGGTGTATCGTCACTTAATATTGACATTGTAGTGTGGCCGTGACATTGAGCTCTAGCAACGCAGGCTATCGGCCTGAATGTGATATTTGCCAGCCGATAATATACAAATAAAAAAAAAATGTAAATAAAAAACTAAAAATGACGGCATTTTGTAAATTCTGTTCGTTTTTAATCATGATGGCCTCAACGAGGCCATTTTGCGTTCGTTACAAAAACACTTAGAATGAAAAAAAAAAAAAAATTACAAAAAAAATGTTTTTACTTCTTAATTAAGATTGATAAAGTTTATTCTAGTTTTCGTTCGTTACAATCGTTCAAAATAAACGAAATCTTTGGTTTCGTAGATGAAGACTCTACCGAGACTTCCTCTTCCACATTTCATGCAATGTTTGCAAACGTGCGAGGAGTTTCCAAAACATTGCATCTCATCAGTAAACCAGTCAGGGACAGATATAAACTAGTCGTCCCTGCTTTGGCGCAAATTGGACGTAATACGTGGCATGTGATATCAAAATGATGACTATCGGAATGTGAGCAAAAAAAAATTCGATAAATAGAGACTGAAAACAACAACAGACAACATCGAGGTGGATGTTGTTATCTGTAACGAAAACTTCATTCCAAACTAATAATTAAGAAATTTTCATTATTTTTATCAATATTGTTATTATTGTTATTATACTATTGATTTTATTATCGTTTATTGATTTATTTGTTTTCTTATCAATGAACAATTTATTATAAGTTTAATTCTTTGTTATTTGATTTAATATAAAATGGTATTCTTTTCTTTACTTTGTTGTTCTACGTAAACTAAGTAATACTTATTAAGACTCTGCTAAAGAGACTCATTTATTATTAAGGCCATATTATTATTAATATTAAAATACATATTGCTTTAAATATTTTTATATAATGGATTTTTTTTGTTTTGTTTTGTTTTGTTTTTTAATTAACATACATATTTATATACAGGAAATAACAAAACGCGAGAACATAAAATAATGTATTTGTTTTGGGTTTTTTGTTTAACGAATTATTTTTTCCTATCTTAGCTATGCGCTCTTAAACGTACATTTATGCACATCTAGAATGCATACATATTATTATAATTGTACAACCCAAATTTCCGCATCACATACTATAACAAGAGAAACAAATAGACGAAGAAGATTGACATTTTGAATGTTTATAGATTTCGGATTGTAATTAACTTTGCTTAATAAATACTAATCAACTTTTGTAGCGGACATGTTGCACTTGGCAGTTGTAGACGAATTTTTTAATAATTCCCTTTCGCTTTCGACATCAGCTAAGAGCGTCTGATGTTGTTGTTCTTGAATTCTAATATCAATATCATTATCTTCGCTTATATTATGTTTACGCTGCTTAACTATACATTCTTCGGTAACATTTAAGGGCGGTAAATGATGATGATGTTGTTGTTGTTGTTGTTGTTGCTGCGATGATGTCCCTTCTGTTGTTGTTTTTTCTGTTAACTCATAATGTTGATGATAAAGTAATTCATCTTTTGACAAATTATTATCATTTATTATTGTACTTGTGTTTTGGTTGTAAGTATGCTTTCGTAGTAAATTTGATTTCATTGTTTGCTTATTACAATATAAGAGCACAGTCACTTTATTGAGAATCGGGCATAAAATAGACTCATGTATCACAGCAGCAATGCGATAATTTTGACCCTCAAACGGATCGGTCACAGCCGCACACAACATATGATTTAAATTAACTCCGCTAGCCTATTAAAAATCCGGACAAAATACACCATTATATATATATATAAATTATTATTTATGTAATAAGAATTTATGAAAATACTTACTATAGAAATGGCATTTAATACGACAAAATGATAAAGCAACATAATCATTACGCCTATCGTGACCCAATTAAAGTCGTAAATATCCTCAACTTCATAAATCCCTAAAAACAAATTTTTGTATTTTTTTTTTCTTTGCATTTTCTAGATTTCGTACCATTTCTAATGATATATACGGGTACTATGTAAAGCAAGGCGTGTTGCAACCAATAGGTGGCTTGCTCAAAGGGCAATGTGCGGCTTTCTACTTCCGGGAATATGAACGCTAACAATGGTCCGTTCAAATTATTCATTTGTATTCTAAATAAAGCTACGGTTGCTTTGCTAGGCTTGGCCGCTAAAATATAAATCTAAATGAGAAGAATTTTTTGTTAATTCTCATAGAAGATCTCGTACCTAAGGTATAAAACTTACTTGCACCAATGTTTGGATATGGCAAGGGTTCAATACGAATATCACAGACTTATTGGCAAATTTGAAACCCATCTCTATGCCAAATACGAAAGTCATTAGTAACATGAGCAGTAAACGGCCTGTTGAGTGCGACTGATTCAATTTGCTTGCACAAGGAAGAGAAATAGGATCTGCCCGTTTACTAGCCCAACGTAATATCCAGAGGCAGCCCAAACTCACTATTACCACCTCCGTCCAACGTCGTTCATTCGACATATAATTTTCACATTCGGGTCCCATGGTGCGTGGCACATCGTTGTTAACACCTTCTATGGCCCAGCTCCAATCCATGTTTATATATTTGCGTATAAACTCTGTAAACGATGGCAGATGTCATGTAACAACAAAAACAACAACAACAACAACGTCTCTTGCCGTTAATCTGAGTGGCTACTGCACTTGCGATGCTTTGTTGATTTTTGTTTTCTCCTGAAAATTAGCAGAGCACATTATCACAATTATAATCTACGATGTATATGTGCATGCGTGCTTATATGTAAGAATATTGTTTATAATAAGCATTTTTTAGGTGAATTTTTGAAAAATTCGTCCCATTTGATTGGATAGCAGCCAAAAATTTTTTTAAAAATTAAGGAGCGACAATTTTTCCCTTACTACGATATTTGTTTACACTCAAGCCCTATCCAGTATACTTAGACGGAAAGAGAAAGATTTCTATCTACACTGGCTTGTAAAAATATATTTCGATTAATTGATGACAACTTGATCAGCATATAGCTGTTAATACAATAGCGAACTAAATTCTTTCTTCCTTTACTTGAAATTTGCTTATTTGCTGTAATACTCAGAATTCAATAGATTCGTGAAAAAAACCGCGAATCTAACTAAAACAGTTAGAAATGAAATTAAGTTTACGGTCATGTGTTTATAGTTAAAAATATTCAAAAAATGATATTCTCGTTGAAACGAATCTTAGACACCCAACAATTTAAACATTTTCATTGCAAGATTCACGACTTCGTTAATATTATTAACGAATATGTTGCTTAAATTATAAGCCGATAAGCCGATATATCGTGAGCTATATTCCTTTCAGAAGATTTAGCGTTACGACAATCATAAAAATAAGTAATAAATAGTTTACGTGTGACGTGACCTTTATTGTATTGTATTGTATCGTACTTGGTCCTCTACCTTAACATTTGTAATTGTCACCGTTCTCATCACTGATCGCTAAATTAAAATCTTGCAGAAATATTTACGCACATTTATTTATATACGAGCGTTACGAACGCAATGAAAAATCGAATAAGTCCTCATTTTTTTTGTAGTGCACATGAAAAAAAAAATAAATAGTGCACACAAATATATGGTCGTTTTAGGGATATTTGTGTACATTACATTCACCCACTAATCATCCCTTCGTGGCTTAACTAAATATGGCTTCCAAACAATTTATGCAGCTGGTTTTGCTGGTATTTTTGGCATGCGGCCAACCAAAATTTATACGGAAATAATTGATTTATTTAAAAAAAAAATAAAATAACTACAGACTAAGAAAGGTTATATATGTACAATACTAATTGTGTTGTTTGAGTAGATTTTTTAAATATAGGTAATCGAGTTTAAGTTGAATTTTTCTTCGCTAGATTTACGGCAAATTGTGCTCATACAAATATTTCGCCTCTTCTTTTGTTTGGCGGTAATTATTAAATCAATAATAAATCAACTTTTATTACACAGGGGTAGGTATAGAACGACTATTATTAAATAAATATATTTAGAAAGACTCTTTTGAGATGATATTAGGATTCACGAACGGATTACAGTTTTCAACATCTTTCAAAAAACCGATAAAAATTCGTGCAAAGATATCGCAACAAATCTGTCGAAAAAGAAGAGTGAGAAGCTTCACTTTTCCAATGCGTGCACTATACTTAAATAGATCACGTTATTTCACATTGCACAGGAATTTCCGACTTTGATATACAGATTTTAATACATGCAACAAGCGAATATTTTTCGCTTAGAGCTCCCTGTATAGACATACTATACTATACATTTTCTTTGATGGGAACACGTAATGTTTTGAACTCCTCAAGCAAACACGTACACGTTCTCTAAAAGTTATTGAAGTTTTACTAAGCGTTATGAATTAAATTTATGTACAAATTTTGAAATGCCGTAAAGGCTTAATCATTTTTAAACTAGAGAGATGATAATGACTCTATACCCACATAATTTTATCTATTTGGGCGTCAAGTTTTTGTAACGATAGAGACTTATTCGTCCCTTCTATGCATCATCTCAAGCTATTTCTATCTTTATGTATCTCAGCCAAACGGTTATATTCATAAATTAGACACAAATGTTTGTGTTACTCCTAAAAATAGCGAAAATTCGCTGCAAACATTGTAATTGTGCAATGAAGCAAGCAATACACTTATCCCTAAAATAAAAAAATGTTCTGAAATATAGTTAACATGATTTAAGAGGAAATTTCGATTTAAAACAGATGTGGCTTTGTTGATTTAATTTTTTGAATACCAGCACTAATAATATTAAGTCTTTTTTTGTCAACTGTTTGTCTACATGCATATGAACGCAAATAAAACAGCTGAGCTATACGTTGCAATTGTGTTGTTGTTCTTGTGATTGAAAAGTCTAATTTGTTTCGGTTTTTCCTTTTTTATATGCGCTGCAGTGATGGTGTAACTATAAGATTCATTGCAAAAAATATATATAACATAATAGAGGGCACTAAAATCCCCCATAAAATGTACATATGCTCCGATTTAGATATACTTTGGAAGCCACAATTACGAAAAAGGTGATCTCAAGTTTTTTGACATCACCGTTTGTAAATCACTGCTCATATATTGCGTAGTTTCATTTTGCAATTAAGAAAAACTTGTCCCTACGATGCAATATTTATCGTTTTCTATCATAATTATAAACTTTTCTTCCCAATGCAGGTAATTAAGATGTCGTTTTAAACCCAGAAAAATTCCTCCCTTGTTTTGTTTTACTTTTGACCGGGAGTAGAGAGAATGCTAGACTAGACATAGACAATAAATAAAATGTGTAGAGTAAATTAATAACAAAAGAGAATAGAAAGTTTTCTTTTTTCTCGTTTAACCAAAGTGTTGCCATATTTTATTTCATTTTTCTATGAGAGATTAAACGTTTTACAATGATGCGTACAATTATTTTTACATATTCTCTCCCCTTACACGCTATTGTTTGTCTCTTAATCTTTCACTACACATTCCGTCCATAAGGGCTCATACATGTGCAAAAAAATCGGTAAAGAAATTTTTACATAAAAACAAAAACATTCTTTATACGCACTGCACACACATCGTAAAAGGAAAGCATAGAGATTGAACTACAATAGATTGTTAATTAAATCTTCTTAAATTGTTAAATTTTTAATTGTGATTTTTCTTATAAGCTTTTCTACTGTTTACAAGTATTATTACAAAAATGAGAGCATAAGGGCTCTTCTTACTTTCTTTTTTCTTTTAAAAGAGCGTTTTAAAGGATTAAACGGACAACAAACATTACAAATCATTCTCTTCAATTAAAAACCATATATATGTTTATTTGTTACGATTACATTGCTTGATTGATGGGCGAATTTGTTTTGTTTTTCTTCAATTTTTGTCTTTCTGCTTTTTTTACTGGGAATTTCCGTCAAATTGAATTTTAATTTGTTTGCTTTTTGTTATTTATATAGCTGAGGAAATTCTATTGTATCCGGCTTAATTGGCAATTTAGCGAAATAAGAAAATTGTTTTCCATACTTTTTAATTTTTTTTTTGTTATTTTTAACTGCTTTTTCAAGGGAGAAGTTTAGTTTTTCGAACATCCAATACACATATACTATGTATACTATGTATATGTGTTTATTAATAGCGATTATTAGTTTTATTATTCAGTCACTTTTAGATTTAATGCAATTTATTGGATACGTATATATATGTATACAAATATATATATATATATATATACAATTTTATGTAACTTAATTATATAACTTAAGTATATTTGATTAATTGAACATTTTTCACAATTGCACTGGTTTCATTTCTATTCTTTTTTTCTTATTTTATTTTGCCTCGTTTGGACATATTTTGGTTTTGATTATTTCATTGCAAGTACATAGATATCAATCGCTACTGTTTTCTTAGCAGTCTATCCGTTTCTTCCTTTCTAAGCAATATAAAGCTCTTTCTATTAAAAGCTAAAGGAAATTAAGAGAATCTCAGTATGCAAGAAAAGCTTGAAATGTAAAGAAGCTTAATGATAAATAAAAAAGCAAAACGTTTTGCTTGATTACAATTCTAAAAACTTTTGAATATGAAATAAAATATTTTTTTAAAAATTTCCAATATTTAAAAAAATTGTTTTAATCTTTTTAAAATGTTTTTTAATTATATATTTTTATTTTAATTAACACTTGTGCACTGTTACATGACACGACTGACACCTTACAAGAGAACACAATTTTTTACAAGATTCAAAAGAAAACATTGCAAACCGTTAACAATGTTAAATTTCAAGCAAAAACAAAATTTATTGCATATCTACTCATGTATTACAAATAATGCTTAGGTTACCGGTATTCTTTGTGCCTTTGCGTATATCAAGTCAAATGCCAATGCGAACATTTGATTGTTGTTAGCTTTCGTTTTGAGAAGTTAATCAATAACTCAAATCCGTTGCAACCTAACAAATTTACTGATGTAAGATAATCTCATTGTTTTGATTTCTCGTCTATTTTCTGTTTATATCAATTTTCATGCCAATGTTAAACAAATAAGTATTTCCTTTCATTCTCATTCAGCCAAACAGTTATCAGTAACAGTGGACTACCATCTACATGTAAATACCCTACATCACCCTAAAATTCTTCATGTAACGACTTTTCCAAATATGAGAAGTGGTCGAAAAGCTCATCTGCACCAAGTTTCATTAAAATATCTCAAAAATTACGGCCTGTAAATCGAGGACAAGTAAACAAGACGGACAGGTGGAAGTACTAGTTTAAATTCATTCAGAAAGCGATTCTCAATCAGTCAGTATAATAAAGGTGGGCCTATCCCAAGACCTTCGGGGTGCTGCATACGTCTGCACAAGCTTAAAATATCATTGTACCACAAGAAGTGTAGGATATAAAAATATATGAACTAAGTTCATCATCCAATTCATACTTTATATTGTAGATATATTGCGTTAAAAAACAAGACTCGTCTTTGGCGAGTTCTCTTGCCACATCTATCAAATGAGTAACAGAATCAGAAATGTCCAGCGGTTCTTGGTAAGCCCTTAAGAACCAATAGCGCATAAAGGGGCTGTAAATGATGTCATATTAAAGTTTAGATCAATACATGCTATAGAGTGCAAGTTATTGATATTCTTACTATGACGGTTTTTGCTGTTTGCAAGCTTTTAATTTTTAGTAGACTATCATGTGTTTAAATGAATAGGTCACATCCATAAATTTTACTTGGAGACCTAAGTCAAGAGAATATCTATCAAACATTAACTTTTCTTCATTTTTACCTTAGCAGTACCAAAGGTACATGTGAGGAGAAAATGGAAATCTCATTATTATTCGTTGTCGAAATCGATTCGAAAGCTTGTGGTGATTAATATTACGGCCAACTTACGCTTGATGATGTCTTAAATGTGCATCTTTTGCAAATATAGCTCCATGTTCTCGTCTGCATTAAAAGAAAAAGCAATCATGCATAAACGTGCAAAGTAATATTCTTCATAGAGATGAGCAGAGCCA